GGACAAAGATTCTCACCACTGGGCTGATTGGCAGCACTACGATAGATGGAGACTGAAGTTGTTAACAGCTTATTTGGCTCCAAAAACAACACTCCTGGCACCAACAGTTAGGAAATCAAGAAAAATTGTACTGGGAAAATCTGCTGCCAGGGACATCTCCAGGGCACTGATGTCAGTTTTGACTAAGGTGCACCTGATTGAGGCCATGGTCTTCGCAATTACTTGCTATGCCATCAGAGAGCTGGACAATGACTAAGGATGAAAGAAGTGATGCCTTTGATTTGTGTTGGATAAAAGTCTTGAACATACCATGGACTGCCAAAAAAACAAACAGGTCTGTCTTGGAGAGGCTGAAACCAAGCTACTCCATGGAGGCTAGGTTTTGAAGCTCTGACCAGTCCTTGGAGGAGGACATCTTACTTGGAAGGGTGGAGAGACAGAACAGGAAAGGAAGACCCTGGATGAAAAGGATTGATACAATGACTGGGGCCATGGGGGTAGGTGTGTCAGAGTCAGTGAGACTGGTTCAGGACAGGGTAGGCTTCAGAGCTGTTGTACATAGGGTCGCTATGAGCCACAGGTGACTCAAGAGCAAACAACGCCAACCAATAAATTATTGGAAAATAATAATGATCAAGTGTTTTAGAGGCCACTTCTATGCCATGATGGTTGTTAGTCCAATGGATCTGGAAAACTAAGGAAACCATTCCTTCCACCAGAGTCATCCTAATCCCCCTCTCCCAAAATGTTTTCCCTTCCATTTTCCCCAAGACCCTGACCAGCCGCTTAGGACTCTGGGTTGACAGCTGTGTAACTTTTTTGTTGTCTCTGTTAAGTTTTGGTGGAGAAACTGCCTTTGTGGATACCTTGGCCAAACCTGCAAGTAAGCCAGTGCTCTATCTTTCTGCTGGGATATTTCACGAGCTCATGAGCTCTGGACCTTATGAAAGCAGTAACATCTAACATCCATATATCCCATTTCCTTACAATGTGTCTGTTCTGTAGATAAGTACTGTAAAACCATTTTGCACAGTTCAAGTAAAACCCGTTGAGAATTGGAGTTCCTCCTGCTCATCCCTAGCCATGGTGGTGCTTCTGGGCCCAGTGAAGCTTATCTTTGTTTCAATTCAAAATTGCCTTCTGATGCCCCACGCAATTTCAAGAAGCATCTTACCACCTTCTACTAATAAGGAAAGGCAATCAGGGTAAAGATGGTTCACATTTCCCTTTCAAAGATACTTCTCTACTGCACGTGGGAAGCACTGCTCTTTTAAGAAATTAAAAATTACTTCCAAACCACCTGAATTCCTGTTTTGTTTTAATTCCAGCCTGAGTGCTTAAGGGCAAGCAGGTACTCATACTAGAATATCCCACCAGAGAACCACACAGCCTGCACAAAGCCATTATCTTGCTCTGGCCGGCAACTCTGGGAACCACTGAGCCTTACTTCAATGTGCCGTTTCAAGCCAGGCTCAGCGCCCTATTTAGTTCATAAGGGAGGACAGCCTTCCTTTGCAAGTGTCTGCTTCCTGACAAACCTCTTGGCTGGCAAGAATTTTCCAGTCAACCGTAAAGAGGCAGCTTTATAGATTGCACATATAAATTGGGCTTTCATTTCCTATAGGGGAAAAATGTTTAATGCATGCCTGAGATAGGGCAAGGAAAGCAATCTGAGACTTGGGAACATCAGAAAATCATTTCTTTGGGGGCTGTTTGTAATACCACTTGTCTGCATTGCTTCCTTGGTTCCAATTAATAAAAATATTAATTCCAGGACTTCATTATGCTGAGTCCTTCTGCTAAGCCTGCTGCTGAAGGAAAGCAAGTCAGTATTGCCTCCTTTACCACCTTTTGCTGTTCAGATGTAATCTCTGTTCCAGTAAAATTGACTATTGCACTCATACAATGCCATAGATGCAAAGTACCAGAAACTAGAAGTTTTCCTTCTAGTCTTCAAGCAGCTTTGAATCTAGTTTCCAGAAGGTTAAAGCTATCCGTGGCCCCCACCCACCTGGCCAGTAATTTGAACAGGCAACAATTAAAACAGAAAAGGAGGAGAGGGAGTCTAAGTAACCAAGTCTTCCCTGGAAGAGAAGAGAAAAACGTGAGAAGTGAGTAATAGGTTTATTTGCATACACACAAGGGAAGAATTACCGGTTGCTGGGTGGTAAGAGGCAGGGCTAGAGAGGAAGTAAGGCTTTCAGCAGAGAAAGGCACCTTAAAGTACAAACAAGCCTCTCAGCTTAACAGATCAAATACAGTGGCAATCTTCGGTTGTCCCCAGGCCCATTTACCTGCTGTCCTAGAGACACAGGAAATGAATGACTTAACCAGCTGGAAAATCAAATGGACAGGTTTTTACCTATCTGATCAGTCACTGAAAACATTACCTATAGGATGCAGAGAAAATGTCAAGTAGTTCTTAATGTGTCTCTCAAGCTGGGGCCTCAGTTCTACAAAGACTCTGGAAGTGGTGCCTGCCGGGTTTCAAGGAGCACAGTCACAGGCAGAGAGATCTGAAGAGGTGAGTGGGGTGGTCAGGAAGGCAAGCATTTCTCAGCCTGCTACTGTGGGGTGTTTTATGGGAGTTATTCCCCATATAAACTCCCAGCAAGTTGAACCTGGGAACGAGGAAGTCTCTCTCAAGGATGGAAGGGCATTCTTGCTAAAGTGGTCTTAGATTCTGAAGGTAACCAGAATGAATGCTGAGTCCTTTGGAAATCCAAATGAGATGAAGGCTTTTAATGAGAAAAGGCCAAAGTCTACATCTGGGAACTGTAATTACAAAGTAAATGCCCAAGAGAACTTTAACCTACTTTTTCTTCAGGAAGGTCTCAGAGATTGTCATTAGAGGAGTCAGAAGAGGTGGCCTACTGAGTAGATAAACAACTGGATATGCTGAGTGGGAAGGGGAAGAGAAACACACACTAAGTGACTGGTTTTGGGTGGTTGTTTTTTTTTTGTATATAAAGGATTAAAAAAATTCCAATTTAATAAATTTTGGAAAAGCAAATGTAAAATGACTCAGGCTTATAAAACCAGAATTTACAATTATCTGTGAATAGTTAAAGACAAATCATAGAACCATTTTGATTACAAATCCAAAGTAATTCTAATGATGGTTACAGAATCTCTTTCCCACTCCCCCAGTAAGATTCCAGCTGTTGAATTGTACGCTTCCTCACTGTTACTCACACTGCTGCTAGAAAGCATCTTCTTCCAAGACTATTTTCACATTCAAGTTGCATCACACATACCAGGCACATCTTTCCTTGCGCAAAAGCTTAGCAGGATGATACCTCTTTTTGCCTTAGACCAATAGCCTTGTATAAACAATCCCTCCTCAGTGCCTGCATTCATCCAAGCCTTCCTCCTCCGCGGGTTATCTCTTGATCCCAATCTCAGGGGCTCACACACTCGTCTTAAAGGAGCGCTGGGTCAATGAGGCCACCACACTGGGCACCCTGAGGTCAACCCTAAGTCACTTGGCTGGGCTACTAGTCGTCTAGCACCTCTGCACACAAGAAAGCTATACTGCTCTTTTCCCTCTACATTTCTCATCAATATTGTCCTGTCTTTTCGAATAAGCTAAATGGTCATTCTTCCTGTCACGCATAGCTCTTCACTGCTACGCGGGTGACTGTAACCACTGTTGTAAATCTCTTCATCGGCTACCCCTCAATCATCTACCTCAGTGCAAGTGAGTCTTTTCTGGAAACTCTGGGTTTAAAACCAGTAACTCCTTTTCCATCTCTTGTGCCTACGAGCAGACCTACTCATTAAGATGACTGTGAGCTGCCTACTGCTCGGAAAGTTCTAGTCAGAACCCCACAGCCTCCACTGATGGACGGCAAGCCTGAGGAGGGGGACAGCTCCACCAGCACTGCTGGACCAGTGGCTCTGGGCTGAATTAAATGCGTCCAGAACCACACTCTCCTCTTCACTACTCTCCATTAGCACACCTATAAATAAATGTCCACTTAGCTCAACACACAAAAAGCTCTTGTGAGAGCCCTCTTCTCCTTCTGTCCCTATGCCTACATTCACCACATGGGGCCAACAGCACCAATTTTGAGTGCCTTTGAGGACCAGTATCAAAGTGGATGAAGTGTGTTACCCACAACTTGCCACACAGAGTTTGTGTCCTCTATATCGTATGTATTGCCGCATTATTCAATTTGCATTAATCAGTTGTGAGAGCTATCAGGTTATCTATGTTCGTCTTGAATTTGATCTTAAGGGCTCATATCTCATTAGTATTAATAACTCTCCACATTTAAGCAGTAGGTCCACATTAAGTGCTCAACAAAGTGCTACTTAGAGAAAGCAGGGAGTTTCTTTGGGAACTCAAGGATGCTTTTTCCTCTCAGGCACAACCCAAGGACTGCAAGCTTGTTTCCATTGTCTTCTCTATTTCTCCAGCGTAAACCCACAATTCAATGACAGCAGAACCTAATTTAACAGGCACTCAACATTCATTAAGAGCAGAATACCGATGGCATGTAAACAAGGGGAGATGGCAAAAAACCACAACCTTAAGTCCAATCTGATGGAGAACTAAAAAAACCCAAAAGAATAAAACAACAACAACAAAAAAACCCACAAAAACTTATTTGGAGACAGCTGGGCAAGGAGGCTGGACTCATGCGTGCCAGGGCACACACACACAAGGACAAGTCAAACGTCTCAAAAAATGATTTACTTGAACAGAACCTTGTACATATACACTATGCTCAAGTCTCACTAGTGGAGTCACTTGGATTTCATCCCCCTTTCTTAACACAGCATAAACCAAGTCAATTAAACATCCAGGTCCATTGTTGGACAGAAGTGAGCAGCAGCAGACACCAAATGTCAGGCCCTGTGTTATGTGCCTTTAATACTTTCCCTCCCCCTTTCCTCTGTATTCACTAAACAAGATTTTTTTTTCTCTTTTCTCTCTTTTTGTAAAGCTACTTTCCGTAGCCTTCCCCACCACCCATCCCTTCCCTCTGTCATTATCATGTCTTTAATTTCTTCTCTGAGGAAGAATTCTCTGGATCTCCATCCTCCAATTCTACTCGGTGCCTTTTGAGGCCACTGAGACCAAGAGCACCCCTGCCGCTGTCTGTGGCTGGAGGATCAGCTGGGTCCTCTCCTGTTCCAGCACTGGGGGTCTCAAAGACCGTTTCAGACCCACAACAATCTCTGTGTAGGAGTGTCCCTGCCAGGGGCAAGTTATCATGATCAGGGTCCAAATGTCCTGGAGAAGAATAAGCCACTGTCTCAGGTTCCCCAAAGTTCTGCCCATTGTTGTGGGGGTGAGAGGGACGAGGGTGTAAGTGTCCATTGTTATGAGTGGCACAGATGGTTTCGAGGCTCCTCTCCTCACTGTCATCAGACTGGGTCCTGGGACAGGTGCCAGACCCACTGTTTAGAGTGGAGCCAGTTGCCTTTGGGGTAGAAGGAGAAGGTGGCTCCTCAGCCCGGCTGTTCAGGGCCTTGCTCAAGGCTTTTCCGTTGAGCTTCTTGGTTTCAAAAGTGTGTTCTATAGAGCCACTGCTGTTGGTGTCCTGAGAAGTGCCCTCTGGCACCTCTGTCCAAATGTGACTGCTGTGCTCTTGGCCTGGGCCATTGCTGGGGTTTCTAGAAGTCCCTTCTTTAAAAGCATCTTTACTGTGGCCTTCAGGAGGCAGGTCCTGGTTTCTCTGGGCTGCAGCTGTGTTTAGACAAACCTCCTTACTGGAAGAGGGGATTGAGTTGTCCTTGCAGCTAGTTCCTGCTCTCCCATCATCTGCCTCCCCAGTCACCAGGGAGGTCTCGCCATCTTTGTTATTTGAGTAGGAGTTGTAAGAGTAGCGAAGCCACTTATAAGCTTTATAAATCTTCCGCTCAACTGATTCTATGTCTGAGGTTGGTGAAGCCCGACTTGGCTGAATCTCCAAGGTAGAAGCACTCCGCTCAGGGGAGGAGGCAGGGGAAGACGAGAGGTCATCTACCTTGATCTGGGGGTAATCGTAGTTGTCTTCGCCAATATAGGTGTTGGTGGGCTTGCTCAGAGCACTAGGTCTCTCCTCGCGGGGTGTCTTCTGTCGACGCCTCATGGCATTCCGCTGTCGGGTAGAGGCTCGACGTTCATTCAGCTCCTCCTCATCCTCGGAGCTACTAGAGCTGCTGGAGCTGCTAGACTCTTCTTCAGGGCTAGGTGACCGTGGTCGGGGGAAGAGATCTGTGTCCAGTTCAACCTCACAGGTGTTCTCTTCGGAGTCAGACTCGTTGGAAAGGGCCAGGAGGCGCTTGTCCTGGTAGCGCCGGAGAGCGGACAAGCGCTGCTGGCGAGAAGCGGCATCCTCACACGTAGGTGGTGGTGGAGTTGATGCTACTGCATTTGAGGTGGTGACTCGAAGGGGCCCCAGGTGGAAGGCATTGTCAGCAGACTCGTCCACTGTGGGGGGCGGGGAGCGGGGCAGTGAAGCTGAAGACTCTGAGTGTGTATAGCCCTAGCGCTCGCTGACCCCGGTGTGCAGCTGGAGGATAGTGCTCTCACTGAGGTCACTGTCTGAATCGGAGCTCCAGCCCTCAATCTCTCGGCGCACTAGGGAGTCGAAGAAGGCCATCATCCGGGGATCCTCCTGGACTGACTGGTTGGCGTAGTCATGCGATAGGCCACTGCCACTGTTCAGCACAAGGCTAATATATTCTTCATGGGTATAGAGGCAGCGAGAATCATCTTCAATCCTGCCATCAAGGTCTCCAGTACATCCTGGCTGCTTGTATGGGCTCCAAATCTACATAGAAAAAACAAAAACAAAACAAACAACAACCAAAAGCAAACAGAAATGGATTGGAAAGTCTTATAAAGTTGGTAGCAATACAGCCCATCAACAAAGAACTTCCCCATACTTGCTGACCAACTTTAACACAGGAGTTTGAACAGATGCAAACAGTTTGATCATGGTTGATACAGTAATACTGGAAAAGAACTGAATTTTAAAATTTGGGTGAAGCACAGCAATAACTAGAACAACAAAAATGATTAAGTCAAAGCTCTGGAATGGAAGCCTCAGATTACTGCCAAAACTGTGGACAGTAACCTACATTCAAAGCTGAACAGTTGACTGCCATCTTTGACTGGGACACCACTGTTTCTAACTCTGCCTGTTAGAGGTTTGGTTGCTATGCAACACGCATGCTGCCCTTGTTTTCCAAGAGAAAGGCTGTTTCTAGGAGGCATCAATAGTCATTTTCCCCATTATGGTTATCATTCTGCAACACACATACTCATATTTTACAAATTTGGGTTTTTTTCTGGTTTTGCTTCTGTTGGCCATAACTGAACCTCAGAGAATCAGTTCAAAGCCCCGCTTTTAAAATATCCTGGATTATGTGGGCTATACATGAAAATTGAGGTATCTAGACAAAATGTGGGGAAATGCAAACTTCAGGGCATAGCATTAGTCAAATGTCAGGGGATCTAACTAAATTGTGTCTCTAGGCCCCGAAGAGCAGCCACACATCATATCCTCCCAATTTCCCTCTCTTTCAGTTTCCTCTATTTGTAGCTTGGGAATTGTAACACAGGCATACTTCAGAGATACTGCTGGTTCAGTTCTAAACCACCACAATAAAGACAGTATCACAGGAAGTACACACACACACACACACACACACATATTTTTTTGAATTCCTATAAAATTTATGTTTACATTTTACTTTTGTCTATTAAGTGTGCAATAGCATTATGGAAAAGTAAAATATTGCAAGCATTTCCAATATGAAGTCAGCCTCTGCTGTTGGTAAATTGGTGCCAAGGACTTGCTGGCACAAACCTTCAATTTGTAAAAAACACTACAATATCAGTAAAATGAGGTATGCCTGTACTCCCCTATACAATCTCACAGGATTTAGGATAACTTCAAGATTGGTCAATGTGTTCAAAACTCTTAGCAGACGGAAGCTGTGCACAGAGAGATGCCTCTTTTCTAGAGGGAAACAGACCCAGCAGTCAGTCCTCGCTAACAGTTAATATTTCAGCTTATAGCTCCACTTCTCCCCAAATGCGACATTTCTATTTTTAACCAATGGGAGTTGCTTACTGGAGCTTGATAAGAATAGCCAACTGCCTACACTGCATTTCCCTCTTGGATGTGCAGTCACCAGTTACCCAGGAAACTGGATTCTCTGAACTAGGGGGGAACTGCTGGCTAACTCCTCAACTCTTCTGTTAGCTGCAGCTGAATAGGTAGGACACTCTCCCTCAGGTAGAGGTGATTGCAGCACCATTCCTTACCACTCTTCCACTCTTCATAAAATCAAAAAGTGGCAAAACTAGGTTTCAAACTCAATTTGTCTGGATACAAAGACCCAGCTTTTAGCCAACTGCACTACATTATAGAGACATTTCCCCTCCCCTTTCTGGAGTAACCTCAAAACGGTATTATTTGAATTAAACAGAAGTGCTTCAAATTCCAGCACAAACTTTCATCCAATTACCAAATTTAACTTTTAAAATTCTATTGTTACTATGAGTCTAACACTACAAACTTGTACACAAAACACAGTTGCAGCGTGAGGGTATCAGAGCAACCAAACCCAGGGCTTTTGAGCAGATTCTGACTGACGGCCACTCTCCATCAGGTTTCTGAGTCTGTACATCTTTGCGGAAAAGACTGTCTCACCTTTCTCCCACAGGGCCGCTGTGGCTTTGAACTGCCAATCTTTTTGTTAGCAGTGCAACACACAATATATTAAACCACCAGGGGTCCTTGTAGTAAGGGAAAAAGAGATCAAAAAACACATTACAAGCTATGTATGTTTTGCAAAAATAAAATTCAATGTAGGTGAGCTGCCACTGTAAATGAAAATTATTAACTACACCTGATCATAAGACTGGTCCATGGAGGAGCACAGAAAAACTCGGTTACATTAGCCTGTAGCCATGGCAACTCAGATGAAATTCCAGGCAACTTTTGTGTCTGACAGGCTGGTGTCTATCTTTAGTTGGCACTCAACAAAGAAAACAGTGGCCCCTCATTCCCCATGATCCATCAAAATAATAGCTCTGTTTCCCCAAAGCTCTCCAAGGGCAAGTTTCCCTCCTCGCAAGAACTCTGCTGAGGCCTGTCCACAGGCTAGCTCCCCAATCCCAGATGGGCTTTCTGTGGACACTCCTTGGGAGCCTACGTCTCACTGGACGATCACCAGTTCTAGAGGTAGATTAGCTTCTCTCATCACTATTTAATTCCAAACTCCTTAACTGTTCACAACTACCCTACCCAGGTGTTCATCCCTTTCTACCTTTATCATCTCACTCAGTGAAGGTTTTTTTTTTTTTTTGTTTTCCCCTCCTCAGTGAAGTTTTAAGACAATGCACACTTCAGTGTGCATCACCAAAGCATCTTAACTACCATGCTGGTTTCTGAGTCCCACTCTTTGAGATTCTGATTTGTAAGTCATGGGTAGGTTATTTTTAACAAGCGTCCGAGGGTGGGGTAAGTAAGCTGGTGTTCAGAAGCCAAAGCTAAAATCCCCATTGTCATCCACTCTGACTCACAGTGACCCTACAGGACAGAGAACTTCCCTGTAAGGTTTTCTAGCCTGTGATCTCCATCAGAGTAGAACATTAGGGCTCTTTTCCAGAGAAGTTCAAACTGCTGACCTTTCTGTCAGTAGCTAAATACTTAATCTTGTGCCACTAGGGTCCCTTAAGACCATTAAAACCCCTATTGGACAAAGTATAACTGAACTTGATGGTTTCCAAGGCTGTAATCCTTAAGGAAGCCGACTGGATTCTTCTGGAGAACAGCTAGTGGGTTTGAACTGCCCACCTGTCGGTTAGCAGGCAAGGGCTTAACCAACAGGACACCGCCAGGGTACAGTTAACATGAAACAAATAATGGGAAAGAAAGGATTTGTCTGAAGAGACTCTCAAATCCTTTGAGATTCAATTTTGGGAAATACTTATGTCTTCATAATAAGGAGGCAAATAATAGAAGTGAGAGAACCTAACTCACTTTCATAATGCAGAAGTTCTGAACCTATAACTTCCAGCTTTAAGCTCAAGCTGGAAGTAACTATCTCTGAAACAGATTTCTGAGGGAATAAAGAGTTCAGTGACTTAGAAAGAAAGTAAAAAAGTCCAAAAGGGCAAAGCTCTCAGAATGCTTTCTGGGTCTTCTTAATTTTCAACCAACTCTCTTACCTTCTCAGTTTAAAAATGGCTATTTTTTATGAATCATATTTCCTAATATTTTGATTAATCTATTTGTATTTCATAGACACTCGGAATTTACGTGCATAAACTGCAAAAAACCCTGTAAAACAAACTGCAAAACAATATCAACATTGAGATGCTGGTACAAATATTCAGTCAGTCAGTTTTGAGGCTTTAATAATCTATTACTACCCAGCCATCAATTTTTCATTTCAGAAGTGAAAATCAGAACTCTGAATGTCAGCTTTTGTTTGGGCTCTGGAATGTATTAAGCTGAGGTAGACTGTTCATTCCTGAAGTATGAAGTAATGGAACAAAACACGTGATCAGGAAGCAGGAGACTTGATAAGTTCCCACTCAACTCACAGCTAGCTAGTGACTGGGTGAAGCTCCCTCATTTAAAAAGTGAATAAATGAAACACAATGAAAATAGGGGAAAAAAAAATAAAGAGAAAAAAAGTATATTACCCAATCTCATCCAATCCTAAAATTCAGAGCAAACCAAAACCTCCAATCAAGAGAGCAAATCTTTTCTTCTTAAGGACTTGTCATTCAGGGATGTGGGAGCAAGTAATCTAAGGAAGAAACCCAGAGCTCAAAGAATCCCCACACCCTAAGTAACTGACTTCACCCTTTCAACCTTCCATTTCTCACCTTCAGGGAAAAGAATGATTAAATGACCTAACCTATACCAAAACATCAAGAAACAAGGGTTTCCCCCTTTTTCATTTAGCAGCTGATTGCTACAACCAGAAAGCTTCAGACTTAAATCCTCTGACTCCCTAAAATACTGAGTCCTACATGGAAAGTCAACAATTCAGAATTAAGGCTACGGAAAAACAAAACGCTGTTAAATTTAAATGTGGCTAGTTAAGTCTCCTGATGGGGCATGGTTCATAAAAAGAAAAGACAAGAAACTCTTTTCCAAGTCCAGAGAAAAGTTTAGCTTTAGAGGCTTCTGAGGAAAATTTGTATTCAAACATCATTAAAATGGAAAGCAATTATGTAACATATGTTCTGATCTACATAAGTGACCATCACATGCAGTATGTAGCAAATCTATACTCTCTTCTCACCTTTTGCTACTGCATTGAATTTAGAAACTTGTTCATCTACTGTGAAAATATACAAGATAAGGACCTACTCTGCTATCTGCTGGCCCTCTACACTCTCTAATTCATTTCTAAGACCCTGTAGACCTATCTCTAGGCAAACCTTCCAGCCTTATCTCCTTTTACATGATCATTTCTTGACTAAGTTCTAACTCTCCTACTTTGGAGCCCTTGTTCATAATCTCAATGCATGACACAAGTAGCTGATCACTAAACACTTCTTAATGCAATGAAATAAATAAAGGAGTGGCTTTTCCTTGGAGAGGGACATGATGCTGGGAAGAGTAGAGGGATGGCGAAGGAGAGGAAGACCCTCAACTGCATGGACTGACACAGTGACTGCTGCAATCGGTTCTAGAGCGTTAGACAATGTGAGAATGGTGCAGGACAGGAAAGGGTTCAGATCTGCTAATTATAGGGTATGTCTGAGCTATACTCAATTTGACAGCGCATAACAACCACTGCCTTCTGCTTGGAATATCCTTCCTATCTTCCTTGTTCCTTCTGAAGTCTTACTTATTATTAAAATCTAGCTCAAATATTATCTACATAGAGATTATTCCAGATAGGAACAAATCTCTCCTCTAACCTCCAAGCACTTTGTTACTATCTCTTATGTATCTTCTTTATTCTCTCTCTTTACGGGATCTTCGTTACTTTTATTCATAAGGCCCAGCACAAATGGAACTCAGTAGGTATATATCACAATTATGTGAAGCATAAATTATTACTTATCTGTGAGAGAAAAAAATGCCAGTATTTGTCTCATCTTTTTCTCCTCTTCATCTGATAAAGTACAAAAAGTGCCCCCTCTTTTGCGCAGTGTGAGCCTTCAGAGGGACAGAAGGCTGTTAGAAGTGAGAAGAGGCTAGCTCTGACCACCGGCACACATGCTCCTCCTCTGGACTGGAACAAAGGTGGCAGTAATGAACAAGGCCAGGGAAAAGGGGGAGTGAAGAGATATCAAAAAAGAGGTCTCAGGCTGGACGTCACTCTTTAAATCTCTTGTTGCTATTCTCATTGGGTAGGAGTAGCCTCTTAGCCGACCCTCCAATGGAGTTTTAGAGGCTGTAAACTGCATGGGAAGAGACTGCCCATATTTCTCCTCAAGAGTGGTTGGTGGATTTGAACTGCATGCTTTTGGTCTGGTAGCACAACTCCTTGCTACCAGGCTACCAGAGCTCCCTACTGAATCCCTCAGAAAAAATAAAAAGGTAAGTGGTATTTACTAAAAGAATCAGAAATTCTTGGACACAAGTAACTCAAATGGCACCCCTGAGTGCCAAAGGCTTTTTAGCCTCCTTACTTTACAGCTGGGAAAGAGATATAAATGCTGCTTATGAGACTCAACGGCCTTTCTGGATGATGTATGAGCAGATAAAGGCAGTAATTCTAATAGATATCCAAGGCTAGGATTTCACACAGCCTCATCCTTCTCCTTCGTATAATGTTTTAAGTTCATGCCAATCCCAACCAGAGGGCACCTAAGAGCAAGACTGAGAACAGCAGTGCTTTATCCTTTCAACCTCACCAGGGTCATCTACACTGACTTCTTAAGGGCTCAGATCCCATGGGAATGTGAGAGCAGTGAGCTATGTAGCTCAGTCTGGATAATCTCACAGAGAAAACAGTTTCTTCTTGCTCTCCTCTGAGAACTTGGCTAGTTTCCAACCTATGACCTTAAGGGTAAGGACTTCGGTTGACTAAACAGTAATTGGGGAAACTGCACAGAGGCATCCCAGAGTGCACAGCCAAACAGGAATCTCTGCTAAAGGTGATGACTTAGCCAAGAGCTGAGGGGAAAATGACATCAGCTGTCTTAGAGAGGACATGGTACAGTAACAGCCCATTGGTCATAGCCAAAGGAGGGGAGAAAGCAATGTAAGGGACAGGGCCCTGTCAAGGACTGCTCAAGCCAAGAATGCAACGGTCAGACTCAGCATCAGGTGGTCCCCTGCCTTCCCATTACACAGTCAATGTGTCAGTTTCCTGGGAAGAACAAATGGCAGGCTTCTGTGATGACTCGGCTATGAATGAGCTGTGTGGCTCTGGACAGTTAAGAAAAAGCCAGTATAAAGGACCTAAAAGTCTTATTTTAGCTCTGTGAGGAATGTACACAGTATTCATGTAGCCACAGAAACCCGCTCTCATCTGCATGACCAAAACTGTCTAAATCAAATTGAAATAAGGGCAAATAAATATACTGGCCTACACTCCAATGTAAGATCCCTGACAACAAATACAACTTGGCTTGACTCTGGATAGTTAAAAAAAAAACAACAGGAAAACTAACAAATCACCAACAAACTGATTTTGTACCTTTTGTTTTCCCAAAACCTCTCAGGGGTTCTAAAGCTATTTCAGAAAATAACAATCATAATTCGAGAGATTCTAACTTTTGGGAGGAAATGTCATCTGTCTTTATTTAAAAACCAAGTCATCACCAGGTCCTCTAGAAAGCATTGTTTGTCCTGAACCCCCATTTCTTTCCTTAAAAATGTAAATAGACCCAAGGGTTAAAAGTAACTGAAATAAGAGTGATGGGCTGTAGGGCTTTCTTTCATGGACATAGGAAGGTCAGGACCCTGGTTTGTAAATTATAAAAATATTCCTTTCCAGGGTGGGGTAGGGAAGGGAGTTCATTCAAATAATGCACAATTCATGCAAGTGTTTAGGATTCATATTAAAAAAAATCTCCACAACAACCATACGCAGTCATATTTTATGAGACAATTTAACAATGGTTCTGAGAATTACTTGGTTACACCTGTGCCATATCAGGATGACAATTAATGCAAAGTGCACACTGAAAAACTGAAAGGCTCTTGCAAGTTTGGAAAAGAGAATTCATCAGTTCAAAAGTCATCAGAAATATAGTGGCATATGAGGTAGGACCTAGAAGATATTGTCTGTTTTAATGTCTAGTCACTGTATTTAAGAAACAGTTCTGAAAAGGAGGGTTTTTTATGGCCCCCTCATTAAGAATTATGATAGACCTTTAGAATGTCGAAGGTGACCCGGTGGTATAGTTGGTTGCAAGTGGCACTGCTAACAGAAAGGCTGGCAGTTCAAAGCCACCATCTATTCTTATGAGAAAGACAGGCCATCTTCTCTTAGCAAGATTTACAGTCTTGAAACCCAATAGAGCAGTTGTATGAGTTACAACAGTTTCCATTTATGGAGTGGGGTTTGGTATGTCTAGATACATTGTTTTAAAGACTTCCAATTATAAATTGTAACCATTTTGCTAAAAGGACAGAAGGGGAAGGTGCCTCACCTTGATAATCTTTTCTACACCAGAGGAGCAGATCATGTAGGTGTGGGGATTAAACCGGACCTGGTTAACAATAGATCGATGCCCTTTCAGCACCATGAAGGCTCCGTTGACCACCCTACCAATGCCACCTGGGGAGACAGAAGGAAACAAAAACCAAGCAATGAAATGGATGAATGTAAACAAGTTCCAATAATGGCAGCAAATGACTTGGAATGAGAGCTGAGATTTTTTTTTATTAACTAAACCATCAGCAGAATGCTGTCTTACAGATAAAGTTGCTATGGAAAGAGTGAAGATGAAACCCGTCTCAGCATATGTGAGCATATCTTACCAAGAGCCTTTATTTAGCCTTTAAGCATTGCCCACACCCACACACTGCCATTCCATTGTCAATGAAGCCAAATCCATTTAAAACATTTCTCAAGTTTTTGATCCTCAAGATAGAATCCAAGTGCTACCTTAGAACAAGCTAGTTATGAGCAAAATGACACTGAATGGCTTAGGAACAGTCAGGCAGCTGCACCAGGAACATGCAGATCCAGAAACATATAATCATATAAATGCACAAAATGCATCTCCAAGGAATTTGCCCTCAATTTCTATAACAAGGTTAGAAAAACCACTGGGAAAATGATGGAGAGAATACCCTTCTAACCTTCATCTTTGTCTCCATCCCCCGCCCAACACTCACCTCACCATAAACTCAAACACTCATCACTGCGGAGTCAGAACTGACTCATAGCTGACTTTCCAGCAGACTTTCTGAAGCTATAAAATGCAAAGGAGAAAATGTCCATCTTTCTTCCTAGGAGCTGCTGGAGGATCCAAACCACCGGAAAGGTAACCTCTGGGTTAGCCGTGCAACTGCCTGTGGGCTCCTCGACCAGATCTCTCTACCTCACCATGTTGTTGTTGTTGTTGTTGTATACTATCGAGTTAAACTGACCCATAGCCAACCCTTGGGAGGGTTTTCAGAGGCAGTTAATTGCACAGAAAGAGACTATCCATCCTTCTCCCACAGAGCAGCTGGTGGATTCGAACTGCATGCATTTGTGTTTTGTAGCACAGCTTCTTGCCACTAGGCCAACAGAACTACATAGTAGGCAGAATTAAGGATGAAGAAAGAAAATCTGTTTAACTTTCCTAAGTTGTTGTTGTTGTTAGGTGCCGTTGAGTTGAGTATGACCCATAGTGACCCTCTGAAAAACAGATGTAAACCCTATCCTCTCCTGTGCCATCCTCAAACTCTCTGACACACTTGGGCCCACTGTGGCAGTCACTGTGTCAATCCACTTGGATGAAGGTCTTCTTCCCTTTCACTGATCCTTCATATTTCCAAGCATGTTCATAAATTAGGCCCAAGTATTCAGAATTTGAATTAAAGCATGGGCCTTAAAGATAACACGTGTGATGGAATACAACACTGAAAAATGGTATTGGGTAAACACTGCATAACATGGATTCATCTAGGGCATTATGCTGAGTCAAATGAGTCTGTCCTAAAAGGACAATGTGTGAGACAACAATTATAAAGAGCTAAGAATAACAGTTTAAATATAAAAATAATCATTGTTAGATGGTTACCAGGAAGGAAGAGAAGGGAGTAAAAATTAGGAGAAATAGACACATATTAGGATGGATAAAGGGAAAGGCAATACAGTAAAAGGATTATCAGCACAATGTCACTAAAGAAAGGAATAACTCAAAAAGATTAATGGAAATCAGAATTACAGGACAGAATGCAAAATGTGATTATATTGTGGATATTGAAATTAATGTTACAAAACAAAATATGTATGCATTATTGAACAAAAAATTCATTTGTTTTTAAGCCTTCACTCAAATAACAAATAATATAATAAATATAATAAATATAATAAATATAATATAATATAATATAATATAATATAATATAATATAATATAATAAAATATAATAGATACACCATATGCAGATTACAGTTAAGACTTTAACAAAAAGTTCGTTTTCTTTTTGAATGGCTGAGAAAAACACCAGAAATCTGGAATTCAAAGATGAAGATGTTATCACTTATAAAACTGAAATAATCTCACAGGTTCAAGTTCACTCGCAAGGGTTTCACAGCCACATAAAGGCTTACGTGCCCTACACACAAGTTCTGAGTAATACGAAACGAGGTCAATCAGGGCTATCCACTGGTCAAGCACACAGTCCCATCAAGGAGTACCTTCTCAGTCCCCACCAACAGCAGTGACCTCAGGCAGTCTCTGGTCCACTACTTCCACCCCACTCCCAACTCTTAATTCAAATCCTCCTTCCAAATGATTCTCAGTGTCTTAGCTGCCAGACGGAAAATGACTAGAACATTCCTCCCCAAGTAATAATCTGTTGGTTCTGGTGAAGGTGTCTTCTGTTTCTAATCTTCTGACACAACTTTTTTCCCCCCTCATGGTGGCTATCCCTTTTCACTGTCATACATATACCTTCTTTTTATGACAGCAAGAAGTTTCAGACTCTATGCTTTCCCTTTGATGGTTAAGTTTGTCAGCTTGCTATACTTGGTAAGTGGCAAAGGAAAAAAAATGTCCTTTGCTTAAATTCTTCCCCATATTTTATATCATTAAATTTGAATCTCAGTTCATTATCAAGTCTGAAGCAAAAAGAGTGAATAAAATAAAGGGTTTGTGTATTTTATAGAGTATGATCAGAAAATGTTAAACCCCCAGGTAGGTGGTCACAATCAAAACACTTGAGTAGTAGGTTAAGGACTAGGTTCTTAGGCGTTTGGAGGAAGAAGGGGGAAATAACCAGAGCCTATTCAAAACAAAAATAGATTTGAAATAATTACGGAAAAAGGAAACACGGAAACTTAAGAGTTGTCTCAATACAAGAGCCTCATTGCTCCAGGTCCTCTGGGAGTGTCTCCCTTCTAGATAAATAAGGTTGCTGTTCATAGGGCCTCCTCAGAATCCTACTTTCCCACATCCTGCTGTCACCTCTACATCCAGTAGGATGCTGATGTTGTTAGGTGAGTCAACTACGTGTCTAGGGACCAACAGATTGAAACTTTATCCTTTCCTGCGTCATCCTCACAACCTGCCATGCTCAAGACCATAGCTGCAGCCACACAGTGACTCTGGATTAAACAAACCTAGTACCAAACTTGTCCATTCCTGCTGCCTCCAAGAAAAGGAACTTAAGTGACTCAGAATCCAAGTGATCTTCTTTGAAATCATATAGCTAGTAAATGGCAGAACCAAGACTTGAACTCAAGTCCGTTTACTTCAAAGTCTAAATCTCTTCCCAACATATTAGTTGTCTTTAGAAGATAGATGGAAGGGTTTGAACAGAGAGAGAGAGGCTGGCTCGTAACAGAGTTCTATATCTTCATGGCAGCTATTAAGCAGATTTTCTTTTGAAGTTCTGAATTAAAAGAAGTGAAAGGTTCTATTTTCTTTAAGTACTACTAGAGAGTTTTACCAATTCTGCACACTTGTCAATTCTTGTTTACTCTTGCAAACCCCAAAGCTGGGGCACAGTGCCTGTGCTCAGTAAATACTTTCTGAATGGACAGTTTTGAGGAGAGGGCAATTATATAAATACCACTAAAGGAAGACAGAAAGGGGTCTCATGTCTTAAGAACAAACTATGATAGAACTGAAATTTATCAACTAAATCAGTCTTTTTCCATCATGGTTACTGGGAATACAATTATACTAGTTTGGGGATCTAAAGAATAATTGAAGGGTATCAGTGCTTGAAAATTCAGACCATGGAAAACTGTTCCTATTGCTTTTTGCAATACAAATGCACTATGACCTCATCTGGTTTCTCTTCCTGGAAATAAATCTAATACAGGCCTTCTCCTCCTATCCAAATCGGTAGCTAGGAAATCTGAAAAAGAGGAAGAAGTCAATATGGCCAAGAGACTGATGTTAAAAACAGGTCCAGAAAGAATTATTGCTGCTATTTGTTGAAGGTAACCAAGGCTGTGTACACAGACTCACAGCGATGAATGGCTCCAGAGAGGCTCTCTCCAGTTCCCCTCCCCTCTGGTTTCTAGGTTTCAAATGACTGAATACAGCTGGTACCATACAGTTTCAATACAACAGAGAATAAATTGCTAGTCCCGGAGACTTGCATAAATCAAATAGCTTCCATTTTAGTATGAAAGGTTTAACTATAAAATGCTCCTCTCAGTAAGAACCTGGGGCGTTCCCTCCTCCATGATCTAGGCAGACCCTGCCAGCCATCACAAGGATCGAGGTGGAAGGAGTGAGGAAGGAACATATTTCCCAATAATTACAAAGTCCACATAATCTCCCTGGGAAGCAGTGAGAGTGATCGCCAAGGCCGTCCTGCCTTGCTAAGTCATGATCTATCATGGCAATGGGTACAAAAGAAAATAGCATATACACAGCAAGTTAATCCCTGAACTGCCATTTGTTTATAAATTTTTTCTTTTCATAGAGACAAAGCAAAAACAATCACTTAAGTATATGGTTCAGATATTTACAGTTCAGCCTACTACAAAATTAGAGTGGCCCAGGTTCACTGAACGTTTCCTCAGATACACACACACAGTTGTACACATGCACGCATTTATGTGCACATGCTGACAGAACTGACCCTACTTGTCTGCTTTTAAAAGTACCAATAGAAGTAGAAACAAAGAGCCATTTCTCTGGGACATCTGCTTTTTTTTTTAAAAAAAAAAAGGTTTCATATGAGTTTTTTTGTATATAGAATTTTTTTATTCATTGTTGCACATTTTCTATCCCCCCTCCCTCACCCTACCCAAGCCCATCCGCAATGCACCCCTTATTTCAGATTGTTCTCATTTACTGCATAATCATATATTCCTTTCAGACAGTTCTTCCCCTCATCTGCTCTTGATGGCCCAGCCAAACACACAGGCTTCATTTTGTAGGTTTCTTTCATAAACAGAAGGCCAAAATCCCACACATTAATGTTCCTTTGGTTCGGAAGAAAGTAGAGAGGTAGTAGCAAGCCACTAATAAGGGTGTTTTTCTACCCTTCCCAGTAAGATGTCTCTTTCCAAGGACTGACCCACCCAAGATGCCCAAACAATGTGAGTTGAAGTTTCCCTAGCCTCACCTCTAAGGAGCACTCTGGTTGCACTTTCTCC